TATATTTTTGGAAGAAAAAAAAAACGGTAAATCGTTCAAACGAACTGCGTTGGAAAAATACGGAATCCACTTGATGAATGTTTATTTTTCCTATCCTTCTTTTTCTTGGTCGAGGAACCGTTTTTCTCGATCGGGAACAGGATCCGTTATTCGAAACGTGGCGCCGAAGATTGATTAAACGGGCTGGGTCAACCCCAGAGAGTGGGGGGTTAGAAAGAGAGAAAGAGCACCCGTCAGAACACACCCGTCGTCGGCCTGCTAATTTGTCCAGACCGGGGCCTCGGCTGACCGCTGGCTGCCTTGACCTCGCACGTGTGTCACTAATTTCTCGCACCGCCAATGTGTTGTGGGAGGAAGGGGAGGGGGGGTATAATATTGATATATTGATTTAGATTCGTGTGTGTGTGCTTTCGCCTGAATGAATGTTGGCGGCGGCCGACGAGAGGAATTTCCGCTGTGACATTCCTAACGGACTGGACTCGGAGCATGACACGAATTTTCTCGGTGTTCATTTTTAAAAAAATCTTGTTGGTTATTCCCGATTTTCAGTGAATTTTACCAAGACTTTGTATGTGGCTGTTCGGCTAGAATTTAGGAGAGTGTTGAGACATTATTTTTTTCGGTCGTTCTCTGTCCAGAATGGACGGAGACTTTCCTTCAACAGTCGAACCTTTTCAACTCGAACTTCAAGGGACCTACCAAAAAAAGTTGAGTTGGTGAGGTTTAGATTTAGGGAAGCAAGTGAAGTACATGAAAGAAATACATTAGAAGAAATACATGAAATTGTTACGAGGATATTTTTGGCCCTGAATTGACTTTTTGAATAGTCTTTCACTTTTTTCAAAACGCATGGTTACATTTATATCGCGTTTCTCTTTTCTGTGTTACTAAAATACAGTAATAGCCAGAAAATTCGAATAATGAAAGTTTTTAGGAGGAAAACCTTGAAGTTATGGAGGCTTTTGATGTATTATTTTTAAGGAAATCCAGACGGGAACTCGAATAAATTCGACATAGACGGGTATTTGACTAAATTATGTTTCATTTATTCAGATTCAGCTGTATTTTTTTTTCAAAAAGAAGACACCTTTGATTATAAAACATGCCCTGATTTTGTATGGTTCGCGAGAAAAAACTAATTTTCTTCGAATATAGGGAGTCTTTTCATCGAATATAATCTTTCTGAATCAGAGTAGTGAGTTGATTTTGTTTATGCTTCATTTAACAGCTATGAATGTTTTCCCAACGTTTCCAGAAGAAATCAGACTCCTGATTCCCATGCCCTTGAATTAAAAATGACACTGAAAAATTATTTGATTGAATTTTAGCCGTACAGTATTTCGTTAATTGAATCGTGTTCCCCGGAAAGAATTATGCGTTTCGCGCTTCATTCTGTAGAGCCATTGGATATGAGAAAAGCACTCTGATTTATTAAATTCAGTACAGCATTTAAATTAACAAGAATGTGTGTCTTTTTCTGAATACGGTATTTGATGTATGTAATTATTTTAAAGTCGTAAATAAATTATTCAGTTATTATCTCAAGTGGTGGCGTCATTCTCGCTAAACTCAAACGAACGCCTTTTCTGACTCTTTATCTTAACCCTGTTTCTCAATAGTCCGCCAAGTTCGTTTGTTACATAAGATAATACTGATATTCCTAACGATGCATTTTTAGCTTTTGGTGCTTTTATTCCTCTCAATTCGGTATAAACTTCAGTACGAAATCCAAGTTACTCAGAGGGACAAGAGCGGCTGATTGAAGCGACTGAAGCAGCTGTACTTCCTCTGATCTGCTTCAAAGTTGAGCTCGGTTATTAAAATCTAAGTTTGATAAGACCCCCTAGAATGTGGATTTTATCGAATCTTCGGGGAATAAACTATATTGAATGAAGCGTGAAGATACGTTTTAATGCTTTCGGAAATTGATTTTCTGGGAAACATCGCGTGACAACAACAAGGACAAGTACAAGTACAGAAAAACACTTCCGCGGAAAAATTGACGAGATATGCATCGCGAAAAATTATTTGTATGAAACAGTTTGTAGTGATGTTGTTTGGTCGAGTAAGTCTTCTTGAAAGCGTTTCCGATCAAAATATTATGAACACATATTTAACAAGATATTCAGAAGGAGAACGTTGAATTATGCCTACATCTTTCAATCATTGTTGATTACCTGGTTGCATGTTTTCTCGTGCTTTTCTGTACAGTTATTCCGTTTTTTTTTGTATAGCCAGATGCAGTTGACATCTGATCCATTCGTTTAAACGATCTCGTGGACGAATTATTCGCGAATAAAACCTGTGAAAATGTTCGAGTTTCGACATGAAATCGATATTCCTCACGAACAGAATTCCAATTTACCCATTTTGAAAATTGAACCTTTGCTCCGATCAAGTTTCGCGTAATTTAGAGAGACAAAACTTCATTCTCATCATTCGATTTTGTGGACAATTCCGGTGTACGCCGTTTTGAGACACGCTCAACCGTATCACTTGAAAAAAAATTCGTGCATGTCGAGTGCTCGACGCACTTCTTTTCACGTAGATGTCGCTGGAAGGTCCTTATTCCCGTTATTTTAAAGACAGAACACGATAAATTGTACAGTACTGTACTTCTTAGCCTGATTAGGGCTGATAACGTTGTGCAGGTTGTCGTATCTACTCAAATGCTGCAATATTTTGGTTCACTTTTCCCCCACCCCTGGGAAAATTGGCTCGAAAAATCAGATGGCTGCCTAAAACATAATTTGGCGTTCAGTACCTATGTCTCGCTTATAGTTGAAAAATTGAGGAAATGACGGGAAAATCTTGATTGCATAATACCCAGCCACATTACTCTATATTTTTCACCCCAAGAACACACGAGTTCAAATCTGGGTTTCTGTGGGAAGCAATAAAGGAGATCAGACTTCTAACTGAAGCATGAGTTGAACCTACATCGCAGAATTCTTTGCATTTTTGTCTCTTACCTTCGCAGATAAAGTAAAGGAAAATCAAGGCCTGTCTTATAATCGCGTGAATACGAAAGCATTCATCGTTTTTATTGTTGATGAAACATTGAAATGATTTCTTACTTTTTGGTCAGATTCAGGCGACCTCTGAGCTGTCCGTCTAAACAATCTTGAGGAGGGATCCGCAGTAAATTTCTACTTCATTAACGAAACGTGGGAAAATGATCAGAGTTTAGGCATGAAAGGCTTTACTCCGGAGTACAGTATTTAAATTTTCGATTTATCAGTTCCTGGTGGATACCTCAACCCGAGTGAGGTTTCGCTCAACTTCGCGAAAAACTTCAGCGAGTAGCTTAGCGTGGAAGAATCTTCGAATGCGATAGATTTTTTTGGAGTTGCGTTATATAGCTTGATAACTTTTTCAGTTAGATTAGATTATGAAACTGGGGAAAGCAGGAGAAACGGCCCCTTTTTTTTCAGAACCGTGAAGGCAAGAAAAAACTGATATATGATCACATTTAGGTGAGTCGTATAAAAATGCTGCTTTCAACTTTGCTGTCGCGGGATTTTGAGCTTATTGAATAATGAAAGACGGAAACAAAAAAGGTTGAAGGAAAGCTGAGCTCTTGGCAACGGATGGTTTACTATCTGGAATGCGTGGCATGAATAAATTTTACAACGTCGCGTCGAATGTTCTGACACGTTTTTCAAGATAACCGATGCTCTTTGGTTGCTGTCGAAGCTTTTTCTGTCACATTAACCAACGTCGGATATTTTCTGTTTGCTCGCAACAGCGTCATCTGAATCGCCTATTCTGCGAGCAGAATTAGTAAAAAAAAATATTGCTCCGTGTATCTTCGAAAAAAAAAACGTGTGCAATTTTCAATTTTGGGATAATGTTAAATTATTTTGCAATTTATGTTTTACAGCAATTTTGCAATTGGTTCCCAGGCGTGAGCAGATTTTGATTATCTCCGTGTTTATATTACTGTACTGTACATGTCATTAATCACTTGATGAAACTTGTAATACATGCTTTTCCGACGTTCATTTTCTTGTGGGATGGTTTTCCTAGAAAATAAAAATTATCGAGGAATTCGGAACACGTCGCCAAAACGTTCATTTTAATTTCTGCTGAAAAAATTATCGCAGTACTGTATAATTTCAGCGTACTTCGGAATAGTACTTGTGTTTTTCTCATGTTTTTGTATTAGAAGCATTCGTTTTAAAATTCTGCCGGCGAATGAGTTTTTCTGCAGATTTTTTGGGATTATCAGTCAAAGAAAAAATTTTTTTCATTTGAGGTTCGATAAATATTGAAATTCGCTTCATTGGACTTGAATTATTTGTGATTTGTTTCCCCCAACATTGCATTGAAATTTGTTTTCCGCATTGAAAACAATAACCGTGTTGCAGACCTGGATTAAGAGTCAAGTGAGTTTTTCATTACAACATTTTGACAAATATGCTCGCCAACTCAAAAGTTATTTTTTTTAAACATTCCATACAATTTTAGTAAAAATTTGCGTATATTTTAGAAGACGAAACATTTCACACGCTGCAGATTTTTATTTGTTTCCTCGGAGCGATGAAAGATTATGCATCATCATTCTCCACTAAAAAATTCTCTACTTCCGTTTTTTTTTTACATCTGGGGAATGGCCTTGTTGTCGTCGAGTTTCGCCGGTTTTTTCCTACCCCAGTTACGAATTCGAGAATGGTTATTCTAGTAGTCCGTAGTGAGCTAATCTTTTCTCGACTGAGCAATTCTGGATCAAGAACTCGATACACATTCCTTTTGCGATAGTAGACCGTAGTAAATGACGATACCACAGCAACATTGGAATCTTTCCCACGATAAATTGCTGCGCGTCTCTCGGATAAATTATCGACTTGTACTGTACTGAGAAATTCCGCTCAGTTGACGAATCCGTTCGATTTTCTCTCCACCTTGATTACCTCGTTTTTTTGTCGTTTTCGTTTCGAACGAGACACTGATGAAAGCTTCTCTTCAAATTGTTTTTTTCTTTTGGATTAAAAACCTAGGAAAGTGGGACAATCCTTAACCGTCGGTTAGTTCTCGCTGCCGACGAGAAGGCGGAGTGAAGACGCGGTGTTGGGGATTTTCGTGCCTCCCGCCCCCATACGCCGTGTTTTGCATTGCGGAATTTGATTTTACCAGAAAAGGAGGACGAAAAAAAAATTGGATTCGGGAAAAAGAAATCAAATAGGATAGATTAATAAAAGAAAGAAGGAAAAAAACATACCCGCACACGAGGAGATTCGTCATGGCTGATGCTGACAAGAAGTTCGTGCTTGCTGTCGACGTTGGGAGTTCGTCGGTGCGATGTCACGTGTACGACAAGGCCGCCAAGTTAGTGGGAAAATCGCAACAGGGGTATCAATGGCTGTACCCGGAACCCGGCTTGGAGGAACTGAAGCCCGATCAGCTGTTCGACGACACTGTGGGAGTTATCAAAGGCGCCGTTTCGGGTAAGTTTTTTCTCTTGTTATGATATATTTCTTCTCTTCCTCTCGTTGTTTTTTGAAATTTCTGTTCTATATCTGCACTGGGTATTTTTCTGTTTGTATTAGATTCAATTTGTTGTCTCCGTATTTTTGAGACCTTGAAAATAAATTCGTTCTCTGTCTTGCGTCTGATTCTAATTATCGTATTCCAGAATGTCAAAGATTCACGCGTAGGTGTACAATTCATGAGTTCATTCATTAAGAATTTTAATTTTAATGAATGGTTGCACATTGATTTTGATAAGGTCACTAAAAAGAACAGTTATTATTCGTTTCGTACAATACGTTGAGGTCGTGCTCGATTTTATCCCTTTGAAATTGTATTATGGAAAATATCTAGACAATATCATCGGAAATTCCTGGAGGAGCTCGGATGCAAATTTATTTTGCTCAACATCATGCGTCTGGTAACCGGAATGATTTGTTTTTCTTTCGTGTATTTTCAGATGCGGGTTTGACATTGGAGGATATCAGCTGCATGGGCATCACGACGCAGCGATCAACATGGGTGACCTGGGACAAGGTCACGGGAGAGCCATTTCATAATTTCATCTCGTGGAATGACAGTCGAGGAACTTCTTGGGCTACGGCTATGAATCAGTCCATGCGAATCAAGGTTAGGGATTCATGCCCACAATATATATGTATATATATTTTTAAAAGAATTTCTTCTACTCGGAACCAGGAATTTAGAATCTCATTCGTCGCTGAGCCGGAATATTTTTTTCTCTTAAATTTTATTTCCTAGTCCAAGAAGACAAAAAAGAAACTGATATTATCTGTGGAATGGGGAAAAGATTGACGGATCTCATTCATGAGATCATGAGCCGCGCCTTCATTTTGGGCAGCCATTTGGCAGGAAAAAATATAACTTGCATTCTTGTATTTTTTTTACTACTTTTATAACTGTTCTAGACCGGAATGCAGTCGTGCTTTAAAGAATACGAAAAGTTCATCGGGCCGACCTCAAATTAATTAAATATTGTCTGAGGTATTGCATTGTTTTCGAACTTGAAATTCATTTCGTGAGTCTAAAGCTTTAAAATAGATAGCGTAAGTCGATTAACGGAAATTTTTAGCCTTATTGTAGTTGAACTTCTTTTAAAGAAGTAAATGTTCAACTGAATCTGCCGTTTTTTTTGTGGCCTGCAAAAAATGGAAATATTCTCGCGTGTCTTCGCCACATGCGAATTAGGTTATTTTTCCTCTCTGGCCGATTCAGCGGTTTGTTAAGTGTGGAAAGTTTGATATCCCTGCGAGTTTGCGTCTGATAGTATTTTTTCTTTTCTTTTTCGGGTACTGTTGTGGACAGCTGTTGAATTTCATTGGACTGGTGTCGCACAATGCAACTGGGAACAAGCGTTTCTGTGCTGCAAGGATTTTACAGATGAAGCCAGGATGTGTGAGTTTCTGAAGCTTTTGTGCGCATTTTGAGTGTTTATGTGTTTTTTGTCTTTCGTTTCTCTTCCAAGAAATTTGCTGGCCTTTTTAATATCTGTATCGATTCCTTCACGTTTTATTCTTCACTTTTCGTGACTATGTTGTTGATTTATGCATCCGTTGGCCTCACGTTTTTGTTTCTTTGTAATTGTAAAGATAAAATCTGTTTGTTCGCCTCCTGTTCGCTTCAACGCCGACTTTTACGCAAGCACGGTTTTTTTCGTCATGAGAATGTCACTTTCTGTTAGTTTTGGTCGACTGATACCGGGGCTATATTTTTTACGAAGTCCAGTTGTCTTTGGTCACGCTAGCGGTTTAATTCGCATGACAATAGAAAGCATAATTAAAATGGAACGACTCGTTGTATTCGCGACGATCCTGATAGAAGCCGAACTGAAGCCCATTATTCAAGCGTAGTAATTTAATTTTTGAATTGCAGCTCGGCTTTCGATGTGTGCAATACTTTTACGGGACATATATGAGAGTTGAAGATTCCTTATGGACTTAATTTAAATATAAAGCTTGGAAGCTTTGTATTCAATCGACCCTTATTCAGTCCATTTGTGTTTTTTGCTGGTCAATTTTCGCCTGGGATGATGGAAACTTTGGTACTGCATTTCTTGTGAAAATAATTTACAATGAAAAAGATGGTTCCAAGCTGTTTAAATAGAGTCGAGGATTCATCGCATATTTATTTTAACGTAACCGTAACCTGTCCTGTATATTTGGGCATCAGAAACTTGTTCGAATTGAGTATGAAAACGATGTGAATAAAATTGAAACTCTTTTCTTGATGCAGGTATTACAGTTTTTATCCTTAGAGTGTCGATGGTTGTCTTACCTGTGGAGCTAGAGCACGAAAGTAGAGATCGAAAAACAAATTGAATTACAGTAGTTATTTTACTGTATCAAGTTCCTTCTGAGGTGGTATCGTATCGCTGCTTAAAACTGTTTCCCACTTTTTACAATCACCTTCCCGAAATTTGTTTCATTCCGTGTCTCGTTGTCAGTGAACATTTTGTTTTTCATCGACTGTTGTCTTCGACACGATGTTGCAGAGCTTGACGAACATTATGGGCGAGTATGCGAGGAACAAGAAGCTTCGGAGAGCTGTGAAGGACAACAGGGCGTGTTTCGGCACTGTGGACACGTGGCTAGTGTATCGATTGACTGGACGTCGGGAACACGTCACCGATTACTCGGAAGCATCTGCAACGCTTTTATTTGACCCCTATGCCCGGGACTGGGGCTGGGTCCTGATGCGTTACGTAGGGGCACCCAAGTTGATCATGCCGAAAATTATGGGCTCGTGTTCGAAATTTGGCCACACGGATCTGAGTGTGCTCGGAGCCAAGATCCCGATTACCTGTCTGGTGGGTAACACATTTTGTGTATGCTACCATGTCCCCCCCCCCCCCCCCCCCCCCCCCNTTTTTTTTTTTCCCCCCCCCCCCCCCCCCCCCCCCCCCCCAGAAATTATTCATATTCGCTGATCGGATGAGTCCCATTGCACACCAGATAATTTCAAGACTTGGGCCGAAATCTTGCGTTATCATGGGCCGCATCATTTTTTTTTCTCGCGAAAATACCGTATTTTCACTAGTATAAGCACCCCTTCTTTTAAGCATAGATCGTTCAGAAAAGAATTGCAACCCTGGAATTTTTACTGTATTAAATAACATTCTTTATCTCTGCATGAAGTAAGAATATCTGCTCGATCGAAATTACGAAAATTGTTTCTCTTGCTTGATTTTTTTTCTTTGCTGCTGATCTGTTTCCGAATCAAGAAGTCGAAGACATTTTTCTTTATTGAAAAATTTAGTTTTCGGGTGTCCATTAAGACTTCGCATCTTTAATTTCCTCATTGTCAAGTTGTCCTAAAGTCGGATGTGGGGAAACACGTTCAGCTTGACATGGATTGATTCTATCCGTACTGTCACGAAATTATGTGAAAAGGAAGAGTGTTCGATACATTGAGCATTTTGAAGTTTTAACGGATATCTGCGGAGATGCAAGTCTAAATTTTTGTGTTCACAAGTGAAAAAAGCTCATGCCTTTCTATTCATTTTTTTTCTTCGAAATCAAGATCGGGGACCAAGCCGCGTCCATGTACGGCGCCCGTTGTTTCAAGGAAGGCGACGTGAATTTGACGCTCGGGACCGGGGGATTCTTCGATATGAACACCGGACAACGGCCACACACGTCATTGAGTGGAACGTACCCAGTGTGTGCCTGGGCAATCGACGACAAATTAACGTACATGGCCGAGTCCTCGTTTCCTGGCGTCGGTACTAGTTTGGAACTCGCACGACGCCACGGACTCATCGACTCGATGAGTGAACTGCATTCCTTGGTGACGAGTGTCGATGATTCCGACGGAATTCATTTCGTTTCCGGGTCCGACGGGGGTTTGGTGAGACTATGTTTTATTTATTTTTCCTATTGTTGACGATGTTGAGGATTGTCTTGATAATCATCAAACACAGGTCGATTTTCCAACAACCAAAAAGTTTTGGCATTCCAAGCAAAATTTGGAAAGTTTCCGTAAGGCTCTTTAACCGGATTTTATTTGTAGAATATTTTTTGAATGTTGTCTTACTGGATTCTGAAGAAATCAAAGTTGAAAGTCTTTCCTGAATTGAATTCGGCAAAGCACTAGAGTGGAAAATTTTCAGTTCGTAGGGTTCTGAGAAAATGAAACAGTTTTATTTCATTCGGATGCAGGATATTGACCTGAAGTTTATCACTAGTCACACTCATGCAGGGCATATCACTGAAATTCGATGAAGTTGACCGATGTGTCGCGATGACTTTGGTTTCGGATTTTGACAAGTTTTTGTTTCGTTTTCTTCACAGACGATGGGAGACGATGGTGCAGGAGAAAGGTTTACAGATGAGGATCTAGAATTGCGTGATAAAGACGCTTCCGCTGAAGGATTAAGCTTTGACGATCTCGAGCAAGACGCTTCCTCAGTGTCGTCAGCGTCACGACGGCGACCTGCTCACTTCTTGCGAGCGATTGTTGAAAGCATCGCCTTTCGAGCTTATCGAATACTCAAATTTATGGACGAAGAGACGCATTATCCAGTAGGACATATAAAGTGAGTTTTTTTCCCCCGGAAAATCTCGGTCGCTGGAAGTGATATCAAAAATTGTTTGACCCTGCGAAAGAATTCTGTCTGATTTTTCTGGAGGTGTGACTGGAAATGAGTGCAGGTTTCCTCACAATTTCAAAAATTTCGCATTCCTTGGATAATCTACCCCAAAGTTTATGATGCTAAAGTTTCCTTCGGTTTCGCGTCCAGCAAAACATTGAATTTCCATATAGTGAAGGAAGCGACTTGTTTCCTCGGAAATTGGATCCCCGTCTTGAATACTTCTGTTTCAAAATGCTACATAACTCATCATTCGTATGTGCGAGAGAATAGACACTTTATGGGCGGTTTCTTTTTTTTTTCATGGAATCTTTCGGGACGAAGGTTTGTGTCAAGTTATTTTCCAAATGTTGTGAATTTGCTTGAAGTCCGTGCATGGAGTGCATTACTGTATTTTCAAATGAGGCAGATTGTTTTGGAGTCAAAATCCACGTGAATCTAAAAGGAACTTTCTTTCAAAGGGTTAGCGGAGGAGTAGCTAGGAGTGATTTTCTGCTGTCCACGCTGGCGACTCTTTCTGATAAAACTGTGTGTCGTCCCATCGAACACGAAACGACGATTTTGGGCGCCGCTCTGCTTACCGGAATCACGCTTGGTGAGTTTCCTGCGATACAATTGATATTCCTGATGCAATTTTATTACTATTCTGAATTTATTTTTTACGCGTATGCAGACGTAAAACACGCAGCAATTTTCAAGAAACTGTTCGAAAAGTTCTTGCCTTCTTTGTCGAGTGTCCTTTAGTTGCGCGTACTTGCAGATGAATTCTGCCTCGCCTCAAAATGTTACATATATTTATACCGTAAAATCTCGCTAAAAACAAACCGATACAAAAAGTTGTTCAGAATAAAAGAAGTTTTTCTCGAGTCCCGGCAGAAAGCCCGTGTGGAATACATCTTCAAATGATCTCGTTATCAAGCATTTTTTTCGAGTAATGTTTGATAGATTTGTCAGGTCGAGATTTCCTGATATAGGCAGGCACAGTCTGGAATTTCCAATCCCAAATGTGAACGGTTCTTGTTGCATGGATGGAAGCTGTAATCAATGACTAACAGGCTTCCATGCATCACCCTCGCAGAATGAAGAGAATTTCATATCGTACGAGAACGATGATGGATTGATGAAACTGATGGAATGAATGATAGAAGCTACTTTTTGTTTTTAGAAGGTCACTCAGTTGTTGTAATACTTCTGAATGGTAATAAGAAATGTGAGAACGCCAGCAAAGAAAGATATAGTTGCTTGAGCGCAGGTCTGATGTGAAAATTGTTTGCAGTCATTAATTTTGAAAATCTCGTTACAAAAATTCATCCAGTTTGACGAACTTGTTTCTGAAGTCCCCAAAATTTTCTTCTAACGAGATTTTACCATGTATGATCAGCCACAGCAATAACGTGTAGAAGTTTGTTGAATCGAAGCACAATGCTTACGAATATCCCTACGAGGAATGAAGTGGTGATTAATAAAGGCTATTCGCATCTTCTTCTGCTGACCTTGTCATCAGGTTTTATAAACTTATGAATGCACTACTTTTAATTGGGCAAAAATTCTTCTCGAAATTTGCAAGCGGTTTATATTTTTCGCATGTAGGCATTTATCCAAAGAGCGGGCTGGACGCTCGGGAAGCGCGTTCGGGCGACATCTTCCGTCCGGAGGAGGAGCGCAGAAGCAACGTGCAGCTTGAGTACAGTCGCTGGAGTTCCGCCGTTTTCCAGCCGTCGCGCTCCACGATCTCACTTTCGTCCGCCGTCAGCGAGAGCGGCAGCAGTGGCGGCTCTTCGTCCGTCTTCGCCATCGGACCCGACGTCCTTTCGTCGTTCCAAGGCAAGAAACCCTCGTCTGGGACGTGTTTGGAAGACGAGGACGACGACTCTCCGTCTGTTTTGGCGCGGTCCGTCGCCGCTGCGTCCTTGTGACGACTTCCTCGCGCTATTGTTCGCTCATTACTGTGGATTTCTTGATTTTTTTTTTCGTTTGCGGAACCCGAAAGCATTTGGCTTTTTCCACGTCCACTGTTTTCTTTTTTCCTTGGAAAACAGGAGTTTTCTTGTGCGGAATGGTCCCGAAAGACCCGATTTTTCACGCGGAAAATCGAGAGAAAATAAGCTGATGTAGGTTAATTAAGGAACTTTGGTTGGTTCCAAATTTTTGTCAATACTATACCTTGGGATGACTCAGTCGGCAGAAAAGAAAAGCATTTGACCTTTTCTATTTCTACATTTATCCCCTTGGGACGACAGGTATTGAAGTGATTTTCCTGTTTGAAGCAGTCATTGAAGAACGGAATTTTTATGCTGTAAAAAATGAATAAACTAGTGAATTATCGTGTTGAAGTGGAGTTCAAATACTTCAAAATCACGTCGAAATACTTCAGAAATTATTCATTTGGTATTTTTAATTTTTTGTTTTTTACCTTTTCAGTCAACTTCTAAACTATACAAGTACACAAATATCAGTGATGCAAAAATAATTATCATCGAAATCAATTCACAGTAATGTACTCTAAAATCGTCGAGTGATAAATAATGCCGACTAAAATAATTGCAAGACTGGCGAACTTTTCGAATCAACTCTCATGTGCTGAAGTAGGGAAAAATCCGAAGAATTCAAACGAGAAACTCTTTGAAATAGCTTCATCTGAACGACTGTTTCACTCGGAAAGTTTCTGTTGAAGTTATTGTAAAAAATTAGCGACGAATTTCCAATATCACACTCAAAAGTGAATTTTGAGACCATTCCTTCAAATATTTTGAAGTGATTTCCGGGTTATTTTCCCGGTCAGATCTAGAATTGCCAAGACGTTACATTTGAACAGAAGCCACTCTCGTGAACAAAAGAGAATATTTGGATTAGATTTTCTTTTTTCCAGATTCGTATTTTTGACGGATCTTCACTTACACAAAAGAAGAAAAGAAGCTTTTCAGCGAGACATGATGGCTTCTGAAGCCGTAGTATAGGGTAAGCTCGAAGCGATGAGAGGCAATTTGATGCGGGGAAAAAATATTGTTGAAAGAAAAATCTGTTGTTTTTCGAAACGTGGACACGCCAAGAAAAGAAAAGAAAATTATTTCCGTGAAATCTGGGCTATTTTTCTGGCCTGTGAGGAAACACGCGCGTGCGATCGAACTGGGCATTTCCCCCCCCCCCTCTCTTTATGCGACAATTTGCGTTTGCGAAACTTATGCGTGCTTATACCGTATTCAATTCCCCCCCTTTCTGCATTTGTGTACGAGGCGAAGGCGGAGTTTCGCAATATGCGCGCTGTGATTCTTTTCCCCGCATTTCCCTCTAGCCTTTTTTATTTCTCGTTCATCTAAATGTAATCTCGATTTTGTTTGTAATGATGAAGGAAACCCCGGGGTATGATTCGTCTTCGGAACTTGCCAGTGTTCGTTTGATTGCCGGTTTTTTTTTTTTCCTTCTGGCTTCTGTATTAAGAAGTAAGGGGGATTCACTGAAAGTCTGAGGCGAGGCGTCGGTTGAATTTCTCTTTTCCTGATGGTGAGAGCTTCTTTGTGTAAACTCATTATTTGGAAGACTTCCCTATCGCAAACTTCGTGGGAAACCCTGAAGAAGAACATCCGCAAACCTCTTGTTTGGTTGGTAGCTTTTTTTTTCTTTCTCGCCAAAAAGTGGTTTATTGAAACTCGGGAAATAGAGGGATTATTGTGATATTTGGTAATCATCTGCTTATTCCCGAAATAATAGTGATTCATGAACTGCGTCGAATGCCTGCAGGGAAACATCGGAGGAAACGAATGCGTTGGGTACAGGGTACATTATGTTCCCGGGCGCTAACACTGAAATGTGAGGTTCCTTCTTCGGAAGATCTTGACTAAGAAAAGGCTTTTCCGAGCTGAACTTCCCGAAGAGTTGCATTTTCAGCACAGTTTTGATCTTTAGTCATCGATAATTTTGGAAGAAATTTATAAAAATGGGTTTGTATAGTTTTAAACAAGCATTAAAGAGATGAAAGTCATGCATGAGTTGTCTTACGGATACAAAAAGGCTATATGTACGAATAAAAACTTGAATTTTTATTTTGGAAGAAAATCTACCAATCCATGATTGATGATCATCCAAGTAAAATTTATTACTAAATGAGCATAAATTCAATAGGAACAATTTTCAATTTATGACCAGCAAAATCTGAGGGGCTGGGGCAATGACAAGGTGTTTGGCTAATTTCACCCACAAAAATGGAGGGGCTTGTCTTACTCATTTGATGTACATAGCTGTGTATAGTATTTGAGTAAATATGTACATTATTGTACATGAATTAAGTCAACTATTACGCACGTTAGTTGACGTGTGCATGCATAAGTTACACAAGAGCTGCAATTGCAAAAAATGTATGAGATTGACAAGAGATATCAACTAGAAACGTAAAAATGGCAGTACAATAAATTGTACAGTATGTACAAGGGTTCTAACAAAAGTTAATGGAATATAAATTAAAATGGCATGTAAAATATAATTGAGCTGAAAAAATTATTCCCTGGAGAAAACATATTCTTCGGCACAAGAAAAAATCAGCCCTGTTTGACAATTTTTTTTGAATGTTTTGCAAAATCACCCTGGCAGAGTTTTTCTCTCCACTCAAAAGATGATGCACCCTTCCTCCAGGTTTTGTTGTAGCCCAGCTTTCCCCTCAGAATTCTTGAAAATCAATGTGGTGTTGATTCCAAGGGTTGTCTCCAGGTCTTTAAAGGTAATTCTGCCATTTTCATTGACAGCCATGAATGTGGCAGCTGTGACTTTTGTTAGACCCCTTGCACAGTATATAGGGTGGGCCAAAAAAGTGAACCTCTTTTTGACTGGAAATAGCTCAGTAGCAAATTGATAGCAATAGCAAACAGAATTTTGAGCCATTTGAAAGAGTATTGAAGAAGCTTTCATTTGGTTTTTTTCATTGCCCCAGCTCAATTAGCTACTGAGCTATTTCAAGTCAAAAATTGGTTCACTTTTTTTGGCTCATACTGTTCAATGTATAGTACTGTATGATGTTTATACAGCATATGATAGTCTATGCATTTAGGAAAAATGAACCTAGCAAAATTTTTGCAGTACAGTCCATGTATCTAACACAGAAGTCCTGGAGCATAGAAATTGACTTTTAAAATTATCAAAAGCAAATAAGAAGACAAAAAATCAAAGGGTGTCCAAAAGTGACCCAGTTTGATGACTGAATATTGCATACATTTCACAAAAGTCATGACGTCATTATTCCTAATGTATATATTGTGTTATTTTTGCCTGCTATTTCTGTATGCTGGATGCAGCTGCTAATCAAGTCTACTCATCTTATCACTGAAATCTGATTACCTTTAAAAATACAATAAAAAAGCCGCGGAAAACGGGATCTGAAAACTGGTTTGCTTCCGAATACTCTACAGGTACAGTATTTAGCTTCACTCTTACGTATTATCTGCCCACCTGCTGCAGTTAGAATATAAGATTCTCATTTCGTTCCCCTCTTCATTCATTGAAGTGTTAATTTTTGGATATGATAAAAATCAATTGATGTCAGTTTTCACTATAAACAGCAAACAAACAAGAAAGTTCTTCGTGTTTTGATTGGAAACTAAAATTGAATGACAAGGACAGAGGATCATGCGTGTGAGAATTTTTTGGCTGTGATCCAAAGGTGACGTGTGGGAAACTCAGACAAGTGCATATATACCCATGTTATTCGTGACAATCTGAGAAGATGTGCGTGTTTTCCAGTGTTGGCTTGTCATCTTTGCTCAGGCTTTGTGATGTATACACGTAACACGTACACTGTATTATTAAAGATTACTTTTCAATCATCATTGCAATAATAAAGGTATCCTTCCCGTCGGTCGTGTTTCAATTTCAGCGTCGACATACGGAGTACTTTTTGGAGAATTGAGTTTCTCCGGATTCCCGCTCATTAAGTGTCATATGTACCGGCATAAATGGATGCAAAAAATGATTGAAGGATTCGACAATTTTGTGAAACTCATCACCGTGGACAAGTGGAAGGATAATGTTGCGCAATTTTGAGCGGAATATAATATTTTCAGGACGTTTTTAAGCGGAATGCGAAGTGTTCTGCCTTTTCCATGCTTTGTTGGTTGCTTGTGATGTTTCTTGGATGCCCAGCGTTCATGTCCCCCGTACTCTTGTTGATCAGGTTTTTATTTTTTTTTGGATTGAAGTGTTTTCATGAATCGCGTGTCGGTATTTTTTAATGCGACATCTGTCTGATGTTCGGTTACTTCAGAAAATCATGACGCGTCATCTAGTGATGATTGCGAGTGTCGCTGTAATCGTCTCCCTCACACTGTTACCGGGTTTAATTTCTGGAGAGGATCGACCAAAAAAGTGGAGAAGTGCGAATAATAAAGACCTTGATGGACGTTTCAAGGAATACAACAGAAGGAACACAAATAATCTGGAGAAGCGGTCACCGAGAAGGTGGTCAAATGAACGGTAGAAACGACGTTTGGGATGTGTTCGATGTATAAATCTCCGTGTTTTGATTCTCTTCAATTTTTTTCTGCTCTTTCCCCGTAAAGTAATTCTTTCAATAATACTAATATTTTGGACCTATTTTAAAATAGAGAAAAACTGTTATTGAAAGACTAAGTGCAGTAAATTACTGAATTCAGAGCATGCGAGATATGAAAGTTCAAGCAATTTTTTTCTTTAATCAATATGGTTTCAGTCAGTAGCATGCAATTTATCATGTCTCTTGAAAAAAACATATATCTCTCAACGAAAACTTTCGTAGTATGGAGAACATTTCATTCATTGCGGCTTTTCATCGAAAGCTTTGAAAGTTCATTTTGTGGAGAGTTGAATTAGCAGAAGTCAGGACTCAAAATTTTTTTCAATTTCCGATGAATCATGCGGATAAACAATTATTGCTTTAATAGTAATACAATATTTCGATAAAAATGCATCTATTATGATATGGATCAAAATAATATATATTTACGATCCTCAGCATGACTTCAACTTGCATTTGAATGGAAATCTCCGCCCCAAGGGGTTTTCTCCGGTTCCATTTTTTTCACGGCATAATTCCAGCGGTCTGTTCGACTTGAAATAATTGCTGTAATTGAATAAATTCTCAATATCCATATATTTTATGAGGGATGGAAACTAACATTCTTATGAAAAATTCTCCCGTATTATACCAATCCATTAGACGTAATTCGTGCCGATCAAAAGTAATGCACTACGTATTTATTTACAGGAACTAAATTTTTGAATGTACCATGATTTCATTCAATATTTTCCGGATATTTCAGTCGTGGGACACCTGATGAGCATTCGGGAAATAACTTTTGCAAATGGAACAAAGAGCATGGAGATTCAGTCATCGGATCATATGCATCAGACATAAATAATCGTGGTCCTGATGGTATCAATGATTCTGACACACCGCAATTCTGGGAACGATTGTCGGAATTCAGATCAAGGTTTGGATGCATACCCTTTAGTACTTCTAACATTGTTTCAAGCGACCTTGAAATTCAAATCACAAAAAAATTAACTTTTATTTGAATGTGAAGAATTCACTGAAAAGCATCGGCTTACCTTGTTCGTCACTAAAAAAAATAATACGGGCAACATTTATTTTCCGATTATATAAAATATTCGAGAAGAAAACATGAATACTTTTCAAACGACTCTTGTCAACTTGCCACTCACGAAATTTTACCCTCGGTTCTTCTTCTTCATATTTGAGCTGAAAAATATCAATGTTTATTTCTTGGGAAATTTTGAGAACCACAATTATTAAAAATCAGTTCGTTTTCTTCATGATTTTTTTCGAGGGACTTCTAATCTTTTGTGACTTGTACAATTATTTTTCATAAAATATTTTTCAAAATTACTGAGCGCGGGGTAAAATATTGCAAAAAACAGCATGATGCGACGCAAAAAAATGTATATGCGTGTGGTAAACCTGACAGAAAAGGGATTACGGCACTTAATTTCCATATTATTATGTAAACCTTGCACAGTGTTGTGAATAAAAACAATCGCTTAATTTGTAAGAAATACTTTATTCTCTGCTTGTCGTGATTTTTCTTTTGCATACTGTATTGTTTAAATGCTTTACTCGCACTGTTGATAGGGTGGAGGAATAAAAGCTGAAGAGAGGTAGAAATAAATCAGTCGGAAAATTCCCCCGCAATCCTCGAAGAAACACGCTGAACGTTGCAAAAATTCTGAAAGAGAAAGAAGACGAAAGTTCAACTCCGAAAATAAATAATACTGCATTTGCTTTCCAGGTTGACTGAATTGAATGACAAGTATGCGTCGCAAAATCAGTCGTGGAACCTGGAAGAAGTTCAAAAAGATGCTGCCAATCTCTTTAAATGCGCATCGCAAGTGGGATTGGAATCCCTGCGAATTTGCGGAGATTTTGCGCATCGCTCCATCGGATGGATCCCTCTCGAAGTGCTGAAAGAAATACTGGCTAGCATTCTTCTTTGATTTCTGAATATATATATTTTTTTCGGAGAGTCTCTTCCAAAGCTGCGGGAAATATACCATACAAAGTCTTTTTGATGCGAAACTCTTGCACTCAATTATCTGTTTGTATATTCTTGGTGAGGGCTGGTTTAGTTCATTCAAACATTTTTTTGCTTACAATATACCTCGGCGGCTGTCGATGAAAATGGCGGAATTACCTTGGAAGACCTGGATGCAACCCTTGGAATTAATGCCTCGTTGATTTCAAGAAATCTGAGGGGAAAGCTGGGCTACAAAAAAAAAAATCTGCCGGAGGGACTTTTCATCTTTTGAGTGGAGAGCAAAACTCTGCCAGGGGGAATTTCGCAAAGCATTCACAAAAAACTTGTCAAACAAGGCTGATTTTTGTGTGTGCCAAAGAATATGTTTTCCCCAAAGAATAATTTTTTCAGCTCAATTGTATTTAATTTATATTCTGAAAACATTTGTTAGAATCCTTGTATTGGCTTTGATTTTGTTTGTTTGTGCAAAATCTGTCTGGGTTATGAGGAATATGATAAACAGCACAGGGGTATGAAATAAAAATTACAGAAAATTCTCACTGTATGTCAATTTGAATATGATAATGCTCACCAATTTTGACGCCATCCATTTTTACCCATCAGCCAGGAAATCATAAATTGCGTTTCATTTCCGACTTTTCTTTAAAAAAAAAAAGAGAAAAACATCGCGTTATTATTCATTCGCGATAAAAAAGTCAATCTGCGTCCCTCAAGACAATTCGGAAACATTTACATGCATTCATTTCGTTTTTCACATATATATAGAGCCTTATAAAAGAAAGAAATCAAGAAACTGTCAACGGCGGAAATGCGTTGTTTTTCGGATTAAGTTTCACGTCAGCCAATAACGATAAGTGACGCCTTTCTCTGTTTGTATTCGGCGGCGATTGTTTCGCTGCTGGATCATCGCTCATCAGCATGCTGGATTCGGCGGCACCACCGCCACCAGCAGCAGCAGCAGCAGAAGAAGAACCGCCGCCACCATTAGCAGCAGCGTCGCAATTGCAGCCGTTGAACGCCGTCGACTTCCTGATGGCGTCCATGCCGCCCCGCTGGCGAACTATTTGCGTGACGCGCTTTTTCTCGTACTTGTCGAAGTCTATGTTTTCCCAATCCACGATTTCCGACGGAAAAATCACCTGATGGAAACAAATTTGAATAAATACCTTTATTTTCAGTTACGGAACCAAGCAGACATCCTGAAACAAAACAAAAATGTGGAAAAATAATCTTCAACGAAGACACCTTCGTCGAAAAAAAAAAAAAATTCCCGACACTCGGACAAATGTATGTGCAGGGTGGGCCAAAAAAAAGGGAACACATTTTTGAATTACGCTATCTCAGTATAAAATCAAGCTACACCAAAAAAAACAAAAACAAAAACAACTCAATGTCGCAAATCTGTAGCCAATTGAGCTCTGACAATGAAAAAAATGCCAATTGAAAGCTTGTTCAATTTCCTGTCATCAAATGATATGCGGTTTCATGGCCCCAATAAATGTCAAGGAATGCTGGCAAAAGCCATTTGAATGAAGACTACTTGAATCTTTGAAAGAATGTCTGCATGATCTTGAAGACAGCAAGCATGCAGTTTGCTGGTTAAATTACTGCATATACACTTTGCATGCCAATTATCAGCAAAAACAGCTGTTGTGGAGAAAAAGAGAAGAGAAAATGAAGGTTTTCTCCTGCATCCCCTGGCAATGCCACATTGATTTCTTTGATTCTACTGTAATTATTTTGGGCAATCAGAGGCCAGGGAATATGCAACAATATTCTGGATTTTTGGGTTAGATCACCTTCATTCCAGTCAAATCCAAAAAATTTATAGAAGCTCTTCTGATTTTGAATTTATAATCAGTCTGTCCTATAGACTTTTGGAGGACAATCTTCTCCTTTATTTTTATTAACTGATTTGTGCATAAATCTGGGATAAGAATTTGTTTGATCTGATCTGGTGTTCGTTTTTATTATATTGAATGCATTGAATTTTTGATTTTCTTCACTTAAAACATTGAATAAAAAAATTATTGAAAAACTAGGAACATATAATTCTAGGTGATTCCTTGAATATGTGTTCTGAGCCTCAAAAGGCTGATTGTCTGTGTTTTGATTTCTTCTGTGATCCTGGATAACAACAAAAATAGAGAACAGCAGGTTTAATAGGAAGAAGTTGCCTGACAACCTTTTTTTTTAAAGTTTTCATTCAAATGACTTTCTTGACCTTTTCATGGCATTACCACACATCATTTGGAAGGCTACTGAAGAAGCTTTTATCTGCTTGTTTTTTGTTGCTTTATAGCTTGATTTTCTACTGAGATCTTGTGATTCAAACATTGGTTCACTTTTTTGACCCACCCTGTAATCTATAAACTCTGTGAAGGTGGAGGAAAACTGAAACATTCTCAAAGATTGATTTATCATCAGCCAGGCAGATGATAATTTGAGCATTGAAAATTCTGTAGGTAAAATTAAAACTCATTCAAGTTTCTTTGCGAATACAGTAAGTGATTAATCAGGGATGTGCACGGGATTGATGTGACACCGATTTATTCGGCTTTAAAGGTCCCCTTGCCTTGTGAAGTATTCGTAAAATGAACTTGGGTGACTGTCACTGATTTTTGATTCGGATAGCGGACCCAGCTTCGAATTTCACATGTACGACGTGAAAACACATACAGTATTCATCTTCAAAAAAGTTACGGTTATATGGAAAATCATAATATTCCATGAGGGTAAACCCATCATTTTTGAAGGACTTGGGCATTTTATTTCGCGTGTGAATGTCACAGAATCACCAGAGTCAATTACAGTATTTTAAAATACAGTATTTGCAGTACAATAAATTCTGTAACCGCGATGCGAAATATTCGCTTCAAAATAAAAACAAAAGACCAAAAAAAAATACCTATTTACTCACCTCGTAGGTCAGATTTTTCGCTCTGTAAATGATCCTGAACTCGGTTTTCGTATTTACTCCGTAGGCACTGAGGTACCCAGGTCCGAGTCGTCCACAGGCACCCACGCATTTGTTGGGCACCAGGTCCTTGGTTTCCTCCTCTTCGCAATCTGCTGTTTTGGGTCTCACTTTGCAGATCTTGAATGGGTTTTCTGGACAGTCCTCGTTATTGGTCTTCTTATTGGATCCCCGACGCATCCTATGCATCAAATCCACGGACAAGTCCACTTCTTCTTTGGGACTCGGATCCGACGACAATAATGACGTATCTGGGATTATAATATTATAGTATAGACAAAAATGAATGCAATCGATTGTAAAACAAAATCAAGCGTATCGATTTAATTTTGTGCCTCGAAATGAAGACAATGCTTTGCGTGGGAACGTATGAATACATGTATTTTAGTTTAATTAAATTTCGCCAGAAATCAGAATCATACGGCAATCAAAACTTGTACTTTCGCTTGAGTTTTCAGCACATTTTCCTGTAAAAGTTCCAATAAAAGTGAAAAGTTCTGCGTCGGCGTAACCTGAAAAAAAAAAAAATGCTCGGGGAGTTCTGAGTTGAATTACAATCGATGTATACTCTCAAACTCCAATTTTTATTCGAATGTTGCTTTGATCAGAATACAAGGAATAATGGATTTGACCTGATGCAGATTGGAGACGCGCCATATCGGAAGTAAAACGTTCATAAAAAAAAGGGATTCGCAATAAGTTTACTGGTTAAATCCTATCGGCGCAAGCAATAGGTCCTAAATACCTCCATTAATTATATAATATATTATTCAGTGGATTATGTATTTGAATAATTATATTGGCATACTGCGATATTAAATCGCCTGTGATATTGAAGTGAATACGTTCTTGTCCGATTTCCTACGCATATATTAACTTATTGGGACCAGTATGTTAAAATACTTCAGTTCACTGAACAGGAAATTACAGCGAACCTCTTTAAATCAAACTTTAAGGGAAAAATTGAGTTTGAGAAACGTATATTTTTGCTTGATAAAAGTCTAAAAAATTCGAGGAAATTAAAATGCATGATGTTATTGCTTTAAGCAGCAGAATAAATTAGTTGAAGGTTGTGCTGAACATGTAAGCAAGGATTAATTTGCCCATTTACTCTTTCACTTTCTTTGAAAACGCATCAATTGCATGTTCATCGCTTTACTAACTTTTTTACGGGTGAATAAGATAATTACCAAAAAGGCCTCCAGAAAATTTGAGTTATGAAGGGTGCGTGGAGGAGGAAAGCCTTTGAGTTAGGAAGGTTTTTAATGCAAAGTTCATGAAAGATTTCCGACAGCTAGGACTTATGAAAAATCGACTCAATGAATGAGAGCTATTTGACTTATATTGAGGTATGAATTATCAAGGTTCAACTGTATTGTACAGAATTAATGAAATGCTAATGTCGTCTGCATATACCCAAAGAAATGGTCGAGTGGCGGCGGGATCGAACTTTCGAGAACTTCCCTCCGTAGTCTTCAGCGAGCCCATAATCCGAATCAAAGTTCGATCCCTGCTCTGCTTCTGTAAGGGCGGGATCTGTCATCAAAATCAGATCTTCTAACCGCTTTTCTAAAACGTTCTTCTTCCTAGATGTCGCTGCTTCACTGCGCCGTTCGCGATTGCCTGCTTCGTCCGCCGTTATGCTACTCGGAGCCATGGTATCTGAGTCCGAGAGCGACGAATCATGCTCCGAGGAAGAATGGGAGCTCCCTGGAGATATCTGATGAATTGAAGGGAATTTTTATGAATTAACAAGGGATAGTTTTGAGAGAGACACAAAGAGAAAGAAGCATACAAAAGTGAGAGACAGGCCAGGACTGAGAGAGACAAAGACCGTGAAAGAGAGAGAGAGAGGCACATAGAGGCAGAATTATGAAATGAAAAGAAATTGATCCAGAGAATTCTCTCCCCATGAAACATGAGAATAGAACCTTTCGGGACAAACAAAAAAATTGTCATACCGAGAATATTGTCGTGAACAAGATCATCATTACAGATACAGTCCAGCACGAACCAAATGCACCCGTATACAGTATTGTCAAATATATAAATGTCAGGGACAGGATGAGACCCAACAAAATGATTCATTACAGATTTGCATAGTGGAAGAATAAGACGTAAATATGAAAGGCACAGGGCAGAAATCCCCTGCCAGGTTCCCCAATGGGTTGCGAATTTAATTAATTTTATTCAATTTGTGTTTCTTTATTATGGTCAGTGCACCATTAAAAAATGCTCAGCTCACACTTATACCATTAGCAAACAAGGCCTGTTAATAATATATCAAGCCCCAGATTTTAAACACATACCGCGACATTCACATTCAATACATTGTTACCAATGGTGTTTAATTTCAACCCTTCCAGCAGTGATTTCCCTAACTATCATGGAACTTCCCAAAGATAAAGGAATTACTGGGAATAGTAAGAACATACTTCCAAAGGATCCATGGCAGTCGGGTCATCTTCTTGCTGCTGATCATCATCCGCCATCTTGGCTGCATCTGACTCCTTCTCTGGAGAACACTTGCATTTCTTGGAAATGGCTGCCGTGTACTTGGTCACAGTGTAAGTGCACTTTGTAAAGCATTCCGGCGGGAAAATAGTGGGTTCGGGGTGGATTGCCTGAGGCGCGTCTTGACACGCCAAACAACAGTTCCAATTGGCCTTCTTATTACTATTGTCATTGGATCCCTCATCTTCTTCGCTTGCTGCTTGAGTCTGGCTCAAGTGCAACAAGATCATTAGGCCCATGAAGCCGAGCATGACGGTCGACAACACTGTCATCTCCGTTATCCGAACTTTATCGTCTTATTGGACGAGGTTCTGACAATTGAAAGACAATATAGAGAACTAGTAGTCAGTACAAAAGATTTCTTTATGCTCTTTACAAGAAACGAGACATTTTGAATGCACTCAAAAATTATTTTTCCTTTCGATTTTTCTGACTTTAAAAGGTTCATTTGCAGATTTGAAAAGAAAAAAATTGAATTAGTATTCGAGAGTGAGATGTTGGGTTTGATAAAACAAAATTTCAATATGGCTATATTTTGAAAGAAATGAAGAATAAGTCATTACAATAAGAGCGGAAGAATGTATCGCGATGGATCGAAACATAAATAAAGAAGATTTTTCTGATGCACCAGGATTAGAAATACAATACTATTCCAATTAAATAAAAAGCTCCATGTAAATCGAAAGCTTACGCACTGCTGATGGGATTCCATGCAAATGAAACACTCATTTTTCGTAGTTGAAAAACTTTCTCAAATTCAGATAGAAGTAAGGATGACTTCGAAAAAAATCGTTATTCCAAAAGCAAACCTATGCCAATATTTAAAATGAAAAATGATGAAGAACATCCGCACTCTTTTCAATGGTGTTATCTGACGAATTGTCCAGAACATTGTGAGAGACGGTACTGCAGGAATAAGTCGATTCATTTATTTATTTATTTTTTAAACAGGAGTCGAAAAAGTTTGGACGCGTTTCATGCAAAAAGCCGGATAAGCAGTGTACAAACACGCGTGCAAATCCGTGTTGAATTTAGCTGTTGAAAATAAAAGTGCTGATTTCCGTAAAAGTGCAGAAGGCACACGTTCGGGATTTTTTTTCGCAATTGTTCATGGGCTCATGGCAGGCATTCTTTTTGTGAGTTTACTTTTCAAGTAATCTGGAAATCAGGTCATTCAGGTATGTGTGACTCGAGATATGAGCTGCAAGCCATAAGTTTCCTATAACCAACTTTGGAAAAAATAATAACATTTCTTGCGCGTTCCAAATGAAAATTTGTAATTACATCCGTCGTTGAGCATTTAATTACAGCATATTCTTTTAAAAATATACAAGGCACATTGACATCGCAATTTTAAAAATTGCATGAAATTCAAAATGCGTTTTTCTCTGAGATTTTAACTGGAACAGTTGGTTTTTGTTTTGTTTGTTAAAACAGAGAGTCGACGATTTCCTTTCGGTATTCCTCTCAGCATGGGGCCAAATAATCTGAACGTGGTTCAGTTATACTTCATCCCCCAGGAAGTGAACTGAATTGAAATACACACACTGGAGAACTCCTGCAGCTTTTCGTTTTTATTTGGCCCGTAAGATTAGCATAACTTTATCCATGGATAGTATCCAGAAAAATGTCATCTTCCCATATGATCATCTTTTTACCCGGTTGGTTTCTGCTGAATGATGTGGCTGTATGGGTACCAATTTTGCCCAAGATTAAAGTACGGTTTTCAGGACAAAAATCCTCCAGCATGAAACTTCCAACATGGAAATTCCAGGGTGGAATTTTCAAAGTTTCCAAGGAAAATATTGAAAGCAATTCATGAAGGTTGAAAAGGAGCGTCTTTGTTGTTATTGTTGTCATTGCTGATGTGCAGCGGAATAAGTATTTCAAAAATTATATGAGCAGAAGTTATATCAAAAGTTACTCGTATATGGAAATTCCAGGATGGAATTTCCCCATTGCACAACAACCCTTTTTTCCCTCTTCCATTATTGTCTCAGTTCAGAGTTAATTCATCTCTTGTTGGTATTATTTGAGCTTGTTACAAGTCTACTTAGCTATTGGAATTTATTCGTTTTATTAAAGAAATATATTACCTCTGTTCTTTTGGGATACTTACCAAAGTATCCCCGGCCAATTAAGTTCCCAGGCAGATTGTGTTTCTGATTAATTTCTTGATTCTAAATTTTGTTCTTTGTGGGCCTTTGCCCTAAATTGGCCTCACATTGCAGCTTAAAAATGCATCGCAAATTTAATTTGACTCGAAATCTGAGTTGCAGACCACAGGGTTATTCAAGCTCCTTCGGAAAACTGATGTTGAAATTTTTTTATTGAAACGTTTCGACGACATCGCCCTAATTTTTAAACAATAACTTTTACCCATTTCATATTTAATTCGATTTTCCTAAATAATCTTTTTACGTGATTGAGTCTAAGCACATCAAAACTAACACGTTATTCCTGAACGAATTTCTGTCTGCCAAAATTATCGAACAAGGACACAAGGTATTTCAAATTTAAATAAGGCTCCAATTGTATACTGCATACAAGACAATATTTTTTTATTTGACATTCTTTTGATTCCGAAATTTCCTCAAGCAATTTTTGAATCATATTCGATCAATCGTTGCAGCAGATACAATGTACCGGGATGATACAATCATTGTACGGGAATCATTTAAAACCGAACTGAAATTATTTGTTTCTACATGTGCAAAATTTGAGTTCATATAACGTAGCTATTCCGTGCTTTTTCCCACTGTTTCAAAGTTTCCAAGAAAAATACTGGAAGGAATTTATGAAGCTTGGAAAGGATGAGCGTCTTTATTGTTATTGTTGTTATTGCTGATGTGCAGCGGAATAATGATTTCAAACGTTATTTGAGCAGACAGTTGACTATTTTCTCAGTTTAGTATTCTACTCAGCATGGGGCCGAAGTATATGAAAATGTTTTAATTATTCCTTCTCCCAGGGTGTGAAATCATAATCCGAATGTCCGCTTTGGAGAACTCCCGCTGCTTATTGTGCGCAGAACAGCTTTCAGTCATCTATAAGCTGCTTCTGGGATACTTTCAGGGATTTCAAAGATCCCTGTCAGTATAGTTCATGGATCAAACTTCTCGTGATCGGAAAAAAAGGAAAAAAGAAATGTAATATCCCTTGAAAATACCTATACAACAAAGATGTTCTTGACCAAGTGCGTTAGCGTTCTTCTGGCGATTGCCTTCCTGATCCATTGCGGGGAATCCTTTCCATCGGTGAGATATGTTGTAAATCTGTTTACTCATGTTTTTTTTAAATCTATAGTTATCAACTTTTTTCAGCCTAAATGCTTCGTAAAATGATCTTAACACAGAAAATGACGAATAATGGAAAAACGAAAGCGGAATCGCTCGATGACTGGCAGTTGCGCCTGTATAAATCGTTGACAAATTGTCAAAACGAAACTTCTCCGATCTTATTTCCATTGTATGATTTTTTGACTATTTTTGAATGAACCCACGATACATTCTTTGGAAAAGTAGGCTTCGAAAGATTTATGTTGGCTGAGGCAAATAAGTGAGGGATTCCCAAAATTCAACTGACCATCAAAAATTTAAACGGAAAGTCAAACAGCACGTTTTGACCATATTTTTCCTGGTGATGGACATAATTGTACGCAACTGTAATTACACTCAATTGAGCATATGCTATATCCAATAACAGGGAACTAAAATTAAAATATTGTATAATTTGTTACACGAAAAACTGATTTTGTTTCCACAAGGTTTCGTTTATGGAATGTTGAACCTTTTGATGCAATTTTCGGTTTCTGTATACCATGCTGAGAGTCAACCCATAATGTCTCGTATGTAAGAGCCAAATAAATGGCGTGTTCTTTTTCCAGCGAATGAAGAGAAGTCAAAAGTGCTGCAATGAGTTGCCGAAACCTTGCTGCTGTTACCCACTGCCCAAGACCCTGTTCCCCATGACTACAACAAAGAAAGAAGAGCCTCCTCCAATGATGATGATGGCAGCAATGGCGATGGTGTTGCGGCGGGAACAAGTGGGTCAGCAGAACGCTCTTCGCGTATGCAATCCCATCAACAAGCTGCTGATGTATGCAAACCGACTGCTCAAGAGCATCACACGCACGCAGCACTTCGAAGCCCAGAACACGGAATAATAAGCACTGGACCCTTCAGTATAAACAATTTCTAACCATTATTTTCCGTTCTTCCCCGGCGCGGTCCTGACAAAATAATGCAGTCCGGGGAATTTCCAATGAAATTGTGGCTATATTGGCGCCCTTCCGGTGACCTAAGTGAGACCCCAATATGTGGACAGGATTATAGTGCATCAAGAGTGTCCCTAAGTTGGAATGTCCCAAAGTCAAGTCTCATTTTCCCTTAGACTTACATTATATAATTGTTAATTGGTGTTTCATGAACAACATACTCACCATAATTCCAGGAAATTAAAAATGGTCTCCCAATTAAAACTGATTCAATCAATATATTTCAAAACAATATGGACATTCTGGGAATTGAATACTGATACCTCTGTACAGTACATAATAATGGAATCCTCTAAAAATAACGTTCAAGAGAAAAAGAGAGTCCCTCTATGCTGGAGGTAATTTTGTAAATTAGCTAAATGGATGGTAAATTGGTGAGAGAAATGTCAAAGAACTTTTCTTACGTAACTTTTAGGGTTGGAAATATCTGTTTCTTGTAATTTGGCCTGAAGCTTATTTGAAGTGTTGTCACAAAATGTCCATATGTCAAGAAAGACCTCATGTTGGTCCTTTTTTTAAATTAATTTTCTATAGGAAAATAAGTGTCCCTATCTTGAATTGTCTGTGTGTTGAGGTGTCCGCATGTGGGGGTCTCACTGTACCAAATATGTGGTTGCAAAAATACATTGCACCAGAGTGCAGACCGACAAGACAAGCACAATTTTTTTTTTCTTAGAAAAGACATTTAGAAAAATATTTTTTATTTACATGGAGTACCATCTACGCACCTTGAAGAAATACATGCACCTAATACAGAGTGAACTCTGTCTGAAAAAAAATATCCAGCAGATCCAAAAAAATTTGTTTAGAGAAAATTTCATTGTAAAAAACCCTTGTAGTAAATATGGGGAATGAACCCTGGGACTGAAAATAATTTGCTATAAAGAAAAAATTGCGCGAGACAAGATTTTAGGATATAAAAAGTCCTCCCATATTTTTAGCAAAACATTTATTATAAATCTTACAAAACTGCGTGTCATACAGGAAAAGGCCTTTTGATAAGCCTTTTCCCACTTATTGCAGTCATGAGAGGTGGATGCAATTTTTTATTTTATTTATTTGATCTTCAGTCCTTCATTGGTGTCTAATAAATTTTTCATCGCCTACCCAGCTACAGAAGGAAACCAGAAAAAGACTTGGATCACTGTGAATGTCCTCCACTCAAGTGCACTGAAGTGAAGTTCACCACATAACCCCCCAGAAGTAGTAGAGCAGGCAAGTGTGCATTACGCTGCTCTTGCTCAATTAAACTTCACTTCAGTGCACTTCAACGGAGGGGATTCACTGCATGGGATCCAGGTCGGTTTCTTGTTTCATCCTTCTGTAGCTGAGTAGGCGATGAAAAATGTATTAGACACCAATGAAAAATTGAAGAGCCAAATGAAAAATTGCATCCACCTGGTATGACTGCAAGTGGCAGTTTGTCATCTTTTATAAACCAATAACACTCGTATATCAGGCCCCTGCTCAAACATATACCGTTCATACACACATTCACATTCAATACATACTTCCAAAGGATCCATGGCAGTCGGGTCATCTTCTTGCTGCTGATCATCATCCGCCATCTTGGCTGCATCTGACTCCTTCTCTGGAGAACACTTGAAATTTGTGCGTTTTGATTTCAGAAGATTCTTATACATGGCGTTCAAAAACAGTTCACGATTTCTCCTTTATAAAATAAAAATCCGTTGAATTAAAATGGTCTCCCATTGAATCAAATGCTTCAACACCAATCAAAAACACTGGAGTCACAATCGTTTTTGAAAATCCTCGCGAAAATCGGGCGGATAAACGAAGCATGAGTAAATTAAAGGGTCTCATTTTATTGGGTAGAAAATTGTAACGGTAGTCAAATCAATATGAAATTTTTACAGGGAGAACGCAGTGGTTATTATTTGATGTCTCGATCGCGTCTTGTATAATCATAAAGTAATTGAGAATACATGATTGATTTTAAGCTATGATTAGCCTTACAATATTTCTGCAATATGATGCTACAATTTGAACACGCCAAATTGAATACCTTCATGTGATAAACCTCTTCCATTCGAATTTTCAGTTAACCCAAGGTCAATACTAACCTGAATCTTAATGCAATTTAAATCCACCAAATTTGAATTTTTTGGTGTCTATACAGCCTCATCCACAAGAATTAAAAAAATTCATTTATGGCATTCGGTTGTTTAATTGAACTTTCGCTTCTATATAAGCACATGATGAAAAAAAACCAAGAGATCAGTACAAAAGATACGCTCTTCAAAAGAAACTAGACATTTTGAATGCACTGTACTCATAATTTATTTTTCCCTTCAAATTTACTGACTTTGTTACTGACTTTGAAAGGTTCATTTGCAGATTTGAAAGAGAAAAAAATGAATTAGTATTTGAGAGTGAAGATCCTTTGACTTGCAGCGGAATAATTATTTCAAAAGTTTTTCTTTTAGCATACAGTCGACTATTTTCCTAGTTCAGTGTTCTACTCAGCATGGGGCCGAAGGATATAAAAAAGGTTTGCTTATTTCTTCTCCCAGGGTGTGTGTGAAAAATTATAATCCGAACGTCCGCTTTGGAGAACTCCCGCTGCTTCTTGTGTGCACGACAGCTTTCACTCATCTATAAGCTGATTCGGATATAAATTCAGGGATTTCAAAGATCACTATCAGTAGTTCATCGATCAAACTTCTCGTGATCAGAAAAAAAGGAAAAGCATATCCCTTGAAAATACCTAAAACGAAGATGTTCTTGACCAAGTGCGTTAGCGTTCTTCTGGTGATTGCCTTCCTGATCCATTGCGGGGAATCCTTTCCATCGGTGAGATATGTTGTAAATCTGTTTACTCATGTTTTTTTTAAATCTATAGTTATCAACTTTTTTCAGCCTAAATGCTTCGTAAAATGATGAAGAGAAGTCAAAAGTGCTGCAATGAGTTGCCGAAACCTTGCTGCTGTTACCCACTGCCCAAGACCCTGTTCCCCATGACTACAACAAAGAAAGAAGAGCCTCCTCCAATGATGATGATGGCAGCACCGGCGATGTTGGTGAGGAGACTATAGAGGTTCAGCAGAATGTGTTGGAAAAAACTTTGGAATACCAACAAGTTGGCGCCAGATTATGTTGAATTACTCTTCTGCCTCAGAAAAAATCTTGAAAAAAATTAGCAGCTTCTGCTGGAGCCTGAGAACCAAACCCAAGTTTGGTTCCCAGGCCCAGCAAGGAAATTTTCTGAATAGATTTCTAATCTGCGTCCTTCAACTCTTCTTATCCTGATTTCCAAATTTTGGATGATTTTACCACTTGCATTTGAATTGTTGACCCGTGCAGATCTCTGTGCAGAGAAGCTTCCTATGCGCAACTCCAAAACTTAACAAAGTGTTTCTACCTACAAAAAAGACAACTCTTTAAAACTAGGACTGTTGTCCCAGCTGCAGCCTGGCTGATCAATCAAGTTTTCATCTTCTGATCAATTCATTTCCTTATTTAGAAAGTTCGCCCTTTTTATATCACTTTGTTTTAAATCATTTTTGTCATTTTTTGACATCTTTTTCTCACAGAGGAAAAAGAGCAACTACAATCCAATCAACAAGCTGCTGACGTATGCAAACCGACTGCTCAAGAGCATCACACGCACGCAGCACTTTGAAGACCAGAACACGGAATAAGCATTGCACCCTCCATTATAGACAATTTCTAACCATTATTTCCCGTTCTTCCCCGTCGGTCCTGACGAAACAATGCGGTCCAAGGAATTTCCAATGAAATTTCGGTTATTGGCGTCCGAACAGCCACCTAAAACACCAAATCAAGCAGAAAAAACGGTGTCTCGACCATGTATATGTGGTTGCGAAAATACATTGCAGCAGACCGACGACATGGAGAATTTTTTCATTAGAAAAGAAGCTCTTCAAAATATGTTATATTTACACGGAGTACCATGTACGCACCTTCAGCAGATTAAACAAAATTCAACAGATAAAAAAATCGTTGTAGAGAGAATTTCATTGTTGAAAACCCGTGTAACATGGGGAATGAACCCTGGGACTGAAATTAATTTTTCACATAGATAAAATTGTTCGAGCCAAGATCGTTTGATACAAAGAGTCCACCGGTTTTTGTAGCTAAAATTTTTTGAAAAATCTCACCCGTCCAATAGGACACGCAATTTTGTTTTCAGATAGAAGCATCCTTTTTGAATTACTGTGTCTGTTAAAAATCTGATTCGGGTCCCAATCAAAAATGGAACCCGATGGAGATTTTTTCGATTCTTACAAACGTACAGTACCTTCATACGTTTTTAAGATGTATATGAAGTACACTTCTTCACGTATCTTCATGATTTGCCAGAACAACGAGAGAAAAAAATTAGGTGCGAAATTCTGGGCAGGCAATTATGTGTTTCTTTCTCACTTCTTGTACTACCACGCGAAGAAGCCATAATCATATAATAACTGAAAAATAAGGTTGCTCTTTTTATTCATGATCTGGTAAATTCCAATCAAGTATAATTAGAATTTAAGAAATTAATGTGGGATAAATAAATTCCTAGGAGTTATTTTTCAAGAATTATTCTTCTGATTCATGAGATTTGAAGGCTAATTGTCTCAATCATCACCTCTGTCATGGGTCCATTGGATCCCAGACAAAGGAATAGATTTGTGCAGCCATCGCAATGCAAGTTTTGAATAAGAACTCAAACTCTTAGAACTCAAACTCTTTTCAGAGGAGTTCATTCTCATTGCCCAGTTCATCAATTGGCTGTTAATTCAATGGTTGTAATGGCAGAGTCAATTGTTAAATTGGTTGGTTAGCTCAGAATATTGAAATAGGCAATTAAAGTTAAAAGGCCCTTTAAACACTAGGTTCTGACTTTTTCTCTCAAAGAGGAATGAAGGCTTTTATAGCCAGGTGCTTTGACTGGGTCAGGAAGAAATCAGGAGATTTCTTCCTGGCTCAGGATTGGCTGATTTTTGTAAAATCAAAGAAGTGATGACCACTTCTTGTCCTTGAGTGAGGCTCAGTGAGTCTCGCAAAATGGGATTTTTGCAAGGCTCACTGGCTTGGGAAATGTAGCAAGTTTTTGGGTTGGGTTGCAACTGGATGCTGGAGCTGCTTGATTCAGGACACAATAACCTCTGTATAACAAGGGTAATTTTCAGTTTTTTATTTAATGTGGAAAATCGTGGGTTTTGCTCATGATTTGGCACATATCACTGTTCTTGATGTGACTTAAGAGACCAACATAAGCAAGTTAATTCCTGCTTTCATGCGGGCCAATAAGTCATATACAGTACAAATACTTTTCGTATAACCATGAAAATAATTATGTAAATGCATTTAAAGGAAATGTGATTATAAATTTGCTGCACAGATAAACCAATCTCAACTTTCAACACGCAATATTTTACATTTTATCGAAATTTAAAATTCTATCGAATGACAATAATTAGAAAACTGATGGTAATTTACATCAGTGTGCTGAAAAGTGCGCAAGAAACTTTGGAAATCTTGAAATATCACGTATATTTCCACGCAACCAGCAAAAATCAATGATTGATCCCCAAATGATGCGTCTCATTATTATCCAGGAATCAATTTCATTCCTGTTGTGATACACGGCACCTCCATCGGTTTCACGTATTTCCATGATTTTCCAAAGCACTTATTACAAACGAAAAGTAATATGGTGCAAATTTCTGGCTCATTTCCGATCATGTGCCTTTTTCTCAATTCTTTGCTGCCACGCGAGGATGGCAACTTTATGACGAGCAAAAAAAAACGAAAGGGGGATGCAGAAAAGTTCCACGATCTCGCCATTTATCATCCTTTTTTTGTGATGGGTCGCATAACTTTTTGAAGGATCCATTACATGATAGCACATATTCGATAAAGCAGCAACTCAGTGATGAATGCGAAATAACAGGGATACGATGAAATCGTCGTTGCTGCTCAAGTGTTAGATTTCCCGAGTTTTGCTGCGCAGAAAGCAAGAGTGCATGGATTTGAATAAAAAGTCGCCGTTCGCATTCATTTCAGCAGAGTTGAGCTTTCGAAATTGATTTTTCATATCTGTGCTGCCTTCATAAATTATAAAAAAAACCTTCCGATCTGTTCCATTCAATGAGAAAGTCTCATGGTTTGACCACAGAAAACCTGTATATATTCCCTAAAACAGCAGTGTTTATGTCTCCTCCAGAGACATTTTCAAATTCAGTGAGTATGCAAAATTCAAGTTGAACTGCATTTTCAATTCCTAAAAAATTTGACACATTTTGGTCCAGCAGCTGTATATTACAGTACTGTACTGTAATTTAACTGAGTTAACAATTTCAGGTTGTAGACAAAAATTTTTCCAACTTTTTGGCCGTGGAATAAGCACAATTTCCCTTTCCTTTGTATCCTTCTATCATGAAAGAAACCAAAATTTGAATTAGACCTTTTCTTAACTGTTCGTGACGGCAGATTTTTTCATGCAAAGCAACTCCCTTACTTGATTATCTGTCTTCAAGCCAAGAGTGTGAGGCTGAACCAAAATAGGTCAAAAAGATGTTGTGCATGAGAAGGTCTTGTTATTAAACAGGAATGCTTTGTGAGGGTTTCCGTATTTGATAATGACAAAATGCTAACTCAACTTACAATAATTTTCCTTGAAGTATGTGAGCAGACATGTCTTATTTTTCTTGTACAGTATATGCAACCATTTGAAGTAGTGAGAAGACGTGAGGATTAATTTCATGAGGGAAAGAATGCAAGCTCTTTTTCTAGTTTCTCAAGGAGTTTTCTTCCCATTACTTTGCAGAAGTTTCAATGGAAATATTAACCGATTTTTCAAATTTTGTTTCTATATTTCATCCTTGAATTTAATCATGAAGCTCGCTCATGTTTGGAAGTGTGAAGAAAATGATATTTTCCTTTGCAGGACAAGATCCTTTGCATCAATGTTATTTCTCCAAAATAAACCACGAAACCTTCCTCTCCAGAAATACCTGCATTTCGCATTGATTTTATCTTTGATTGAGTGATGAAAAAGTATTGTAAAAAAATGGTGTGAATCTTTTCCTGAGTTCCACCCCCATCATATGTTCTGATCTTACTCTGGATGACCAATCAGCACCTGTCATGAACATTTGTAATCGCCAATTTTCTTTCCATGTCTCTCTTGTTTCAGGGAGGGCAAAAATAAAATTGTGAAAACAATGAGAATTCTGTACACCCTGGGCAGATTAACAAGTACCCAAGGAGACGAATGTCCGACGGGAGAATTTCTAGAGATCCAATAAGACGACACTGCAAATGGAATCAGGGTACACCCCGACTACAACCCCGCATATTTTCTGCATAACTTGGCATTAGTAAAGATGGTCAAGGAAGTTGCATTCACAGACTACATTGCACCAATAAATCTTGCACCTCCAAATCCGGTGCAAACACACCCCGAAGGATTTCCTGCGATTTTTCTCGGTTGGGGCAGTACTGAAAAAGATGGTGAGTTTAATCAAGATTTTCAATTCAATTAGTTTAATAACTTGTTGGCTTCCAAATTTTTTTTTGGAAAACTAGCGATAATCAAAAACGTTCGATGAGAATAATCCTGAGGTTAACTGGTGATCTGTGAGATTTACCTGCTGATGGACAAGGGGTCGCCTTTATTCGGAAACATGCGGTATTAATCATTTCATCAGACTAATTTAGAAATTGATACTATTTTAAGCATATACTGATATGTAAATTCTAAATTAATAAGATTAACACTACAGATCATAGTGGCTTTTGGGCATTGGGATTTGGCATCTGCTGGGTGGCTCTCAATTGTCTCAAAAGTGATGGAATCTCTTCAATTAGTTCTAAATTATAATGCATTGATTTATTCACAGTTCGAATTGAAGATCTGCTGTTCGTGGAGACTGACTTGAGATCTACCGATATTTGCGAGTATTACTACTCTTGTTCTAATCCTCGCGGTCCAAAGGACTTCCAAAATTTGTATCAACTTTGTTACGGAGGACAAGGGAACCATGAAAGATGCAAGGTGAGCTTCAAATGTGTCTGCCACGGCAATTTCTGTCTAAAATTGGCAGAGTTAGCGCTGCACAATATAGGTCAGATTGATTTCAGATTTTTAAAGTACTCTGAAATGAGAGAAACCAACAGGTTTGCTATTTTCTGACATGCGTTTACTGTGTAAATCTTTGAAGGTTTGAGTCAAAAAGCTGGTAAAGTATAATGAGCTTTAGGGCACAGTTTCCAGGAAAGGGAATCAGGAATATATTGCTTTCAATGTACTGTACTCTACATTCAGCATTAATAAGAATCATATATTATAATTCTAATGCATTTAACTCCTATTGGTTATTTTCGCGTTTGGCTTTTGTTGCTCAGATATACGCTATAGATTAGGGAATATTTTCAACGGCTCATTTCAACCCCCAAACATTTTTGGTTCGTGCATACACATTGACTCAATAAAATTGAATAAAGTGCCTGCAAATATGCTGGTGCGTAATGTTTTTCAAATTGAACACAACATATCGGAGGCATGCGATTTTTCTTTGATTGAGTTTGAAAATCAATCAAAAATCAATCAATTTGAATTTTTTTTTTCATATATTGACACCAATAATCTGCTTTTTTATGAATATAATTCCTCCCGAATTCTAATCGCAGAATGACGCTGCTGGAGGTCCGGTGCTGGTAACGGAGTTGGGCTACTCAGCCGTCCAAATAGCAATCAATTCTTACAACAGGAATGCCTCTATACAAGTTCTGGACCAGTGTGTCCTCGTACTTTTGAAGCATCACGGAATGAACGAGCAGAATTTCATGATTCGAACCTAGCGTTTGATGTCGCATGCCTCAACGATGTCTCTGGAACCAAGGTCTCTATATTCACCGTGATTGGATCGAAGAAAATCCAGCTCAACTTGCCAAGTAGAAATTCAAGCGATGCGTTTATCGATTGATTGCTGTGCATGCACAGCAATCAACAAACAATTTACAATCAATTTGAAGAAATTCAAATTGTTTCATTCTTAATTGGTTGTCAAACTCAGTAGGAGGAAAAACTCAAGTTGTCTCCGATGTTGTGCTCAATTTGAAAAACAGTACGCACCATGCAGGATATGCACGCATGACTTTTTAAATTTGATCGAGTCAATTTATGCACTAACAAAACATTTTTTGGGGTTGATGTTGGAAAAAACTTTGGCATGCCGACAATTTGGCGCCAGATTAAGCTAAAGTGTTCTTCTGCCTCCCAAAAATCTTGAGAAAAATTAACAGCTTCGGCTGGAGCTTGGGAACCAAACCAGAGTTTGATTCCCAGGCCCAGCAAGGACATCTTCTGAATAGAAACTTAATCCATGTCCTTCAACCATTCCTTTCCTGATCTCCAAATTCTGGATGATTTTGACACTTGCATTTGAATTGTTGACCCAAGCAGATCTCTGTGCAGAGAAGCTTTCATTGCACAAACTCCAAAATTTTGACCAAGTGTTTATCATTGAAAAATAAATACAACTCTTTAAAACTAGGACTTCTGTCCCGGCCGCAGCCCGGCTGATCAATCAAGTCTTCATATTCTAATCAACTCTTCTCATTCCAAAAACTTTGCTCCGTATCTTCTTGTTTCAATCGCACTTTCGAAATCAAGAAATCCGTTTCATTTTCAATCAGCTTTGTGAGTTTCTTTTGTCAGTTTGACATCTTTTTCTCACAGTTGAAATGAGCCATTGAAAATATTCCCACATCTATAGCATATTTATGAGCTGCCAGAGACCCAAAAAGGGTCCAAGACAAAGAAAATCAGAAATAATTGTAAATACACACAAGGCTGTTTGCAGCCAAGACAGAGTCTCCTTGAACTTCATAATATTGGACACAACTGATTGACAAAATTATTTCACTTTTTTAGGATTCGAATTTTGCGGAGAAGTTTCAGCAACCAAAGCTCAAAATGAAGTGAAGTCTCTTCAGCGGATTTCGTCTTGAAGGACAGGAAGAGGAGTCTGGTTTCAGTACTGGTTTTTTCTCATGGTCAGTGGCTTGCAGTTTCAGGAAGCCGTGATGTGCGATATTAATGGTTTTTGTGTTTGTGGCGTTTTTTTTAGGTGCAATGAGTATGGCGGATTTCTTGGACGCATCTGGCGACCTCTATGGGTCACGGACATGAGCCACAAAAGCCAAATGCAAAAATAACCAATAGGAGTTAAATGCATTAGAAGTATAATATGATTCTTATTAATGCTGAATGTAGAGTACAGTACCTTGAAAGCAATATATTCCTTATTCTCTTTGCTGGAAACTGTGCCCTTCAGCTCATTATACTTTACCAGCTTTTTGACTCAAACCTTCAAAGATTTACCCAGTACACGCATGTCAGAAAATAGCAAACCTGTTGGTTTCTCTCATTTCAGAGTACTTTAAAAATCTGAAATCAGTCTGACCTATATTGTGCAGCGCTAACTCTGCCAATTTTAGACAGAAATTGCCGTGGCAGACACATTTGAAGCTCACCTTGCATCTTTCATGGTTCCCATGTCCTCCGTAACAAAGTTGATACAAATTTTGGAAGTCCTTTGGACCGCGAGGATTAGAACAAGTGTAGTAATACTCGCAAATATCGGTAGATCTCAAGTCAGTCTCCACGAACAGCAGATCTTCAATTCGAACTGTGAATAAATCAATGTATTATAATTTAGAACTAATTGAAGAGATTCCATCACTTTTGAGACAATTGAGAACCACCCAGTAGATGCCAAATGCTACACCCAATAGCCACTATGATCTGTAGTGTTAATCTTATTAATTTAGAATTTGCATATCAGTATATGCTTAAAATAGTATCAATTTCTAAATTAGTCTGATGAAATGATGAATACCGCATGTTTCCGAATAAAGGCAACATCTAGCCTATCAGCAGGTAAATCTCACAGATCACCAGTTAAGCTCAGGATTATTCTCATCGTTTTTGATTATCGCACGTTTTTAGAAAAAAATGTTGGAAGCCAACAAGTTATTAAACTAATTGAATTGAAAATCTTAATTAAACTCACCATCTTTTTCAGTACTGCCCCAACCGAGAAAAATCGCAGGAAATCCTTCGGGGTGTGTTTGCACCGGATTTGGAGGTGCAAGATTTATTGGTGCAATGTTGTCTGTGAATGCAACTTCCTTGACCATCTTTACTAATGCCAAGTTATGCAGAAATATGCGGGGTTGCAGTCAGGGTGTATCCTGATTCTATTTGCAGTGTCGTCTTGGATCTCAAGAAATTCTCCAGTGGAACATTCGTCTCCTTGCGTAGTCGTTAAGCCGCCCAGGGTGTACATAATTCTCTTTGTTTTCACAATTTTATTTTTGCCCTCCCTGAAACAAAAGAGACATTGAAAGAAAATTGGCGATTACAAATGTGCATGACAGGTGCTGATTCGTCATCCAGAATAAAATCAGAACATATGCTGGGGTGGAACTCAGAAAAAGATTCACACCACTTTTTAGAGTACTTTTTCATCACTCAATCAAAGATAAAATCAATGCGAAATGCAGGTCTTTCTGGAGAGGAAGGTTTCGTGGTTTATTGTGGAGAAATAACATTGATGCAAAGGATCTTGTCCTGCAAAGGAAAATATCATTTTCTCTACACTTTCAAACATGACCGTGCTTCATGATTAAATTCAAGGATGAAAGATAAAAACAAAATTTGAAAAATCGGTTGATGTTTGCATTGAAACTTCTGCAAAGTAATGGGTAGAAAACTCCTTGAGAAACTAGAAAAAGAGCTTGCATTCTTTCCTTCATTAAACTAACCCTCATCTCTTCTCACTACTTCAAATGGTTGCATATACTGTACAAGAAAAATAAGACAAGTCTGCTCACATACTTCAAGGAAAATTATTGTAAGTTGAGTTAGCATTTTGTCATTATCAGATACATGTTGCAGAAATAAATTCATTGATGTAAGTTGTGGTCCAATAAATGTCAGGACCGCAATATACAGCACTTTCTGAGGTTCCCTCGCATGCTTCACGCTTGTTCCGCATTGTTAAAATTCCGTGCACGCCCGTGTATTATATATATATGCTAATGCATATATATATATATTAAAGCCTTCTTGCGCTATGCACCTTTCACCTTGGTTGCTGTGCAACCAAGTATGTCGACACCGATCCGAATCGGTTGCTAGGCTTGGCGCTGACCTCAAAACGGGTTTGTCTATATATACAAGTGTCCGCTATACTATGTT